GGGGGAGTCGATGAGGATTAGGAGGAAGTCGTTGACTGGGGGGGAGGTTAAAGGTTCATCATGCTTTTTTGTCTTTCTCTTCTCTATTTTTTTTCCGTATGTGTGTGTGAGAGAGAGAGAGTGAGACGGGGGAAAGGACGGTGAGGGGAAGCCGGCGAGGTGGTGAGTGGTATAGCCGCGCCAAGTGCCAAGATGTCTTTCGTATTTTGTCTTTTGAGAGAGATGGGGGAGTCGATGAGGATTAGGAGGAACTCGGTGACTGGGGGGGAGGTTAAAGGTTCATAATGCTTTTTTGTCTTTTTCTTCTCTATTTTTTTTCCGTATGTGTGTGTGTGTGTGAGAGAGAGAGAGAGACGGGGGAAAGGACGGTGAGGGGAAGCCGGCGAGGTGGTGAGTGGTATAGCCGCGCCAAGTGCCAAGATGTCTTTTGCATTTTGTCTTTTGTCTTTTGATTTTTTTTTAATTTTTTTTTTTTGTGTGTGTGTGTGTGTGAGAGAGAGAGAAGGGGGGGGGCTGTGCCAAGCTGTCCGTTATGTGACTCTGACACGTGCTACTTCGTTTCTTCTTTGCGTTTTGCCTTCCCGGAAATGCTCCAAGATGCTCTCATGTCAATGCTACTCCCGAGAAGTCCYCCACCCGAAGAGCAACTGCCAAGCAGATTGAATGSYGATTGTTTCATTCATACAATGCAAAACCTGTGTAACATCAGTGTCACTCCTATAGTTGGAGCCGACTTCCTTCAACTTCCCCGGGCCAATCGTCAATGACATCATCCGAGCCCACCAAATTGAGACTCACCCACACACGCATGCACTTGCACACATAGCATAAAAACTCGACAAGTAAGCACGGGGCATGCATACATGCAAGATGGGTTGATCACAAACATATCCAGAGAACACAGCAAACAAAGTCTGAATCTGAATCTTTAGCTGCAAAAACATCAACAGGACAATGGACAGGATTTTCTCAGAAAAGTGCAGAGTTCTTGCACATCACAAAACAAAAACGATGCTGCGAAGGTAATGGCTCCCCAAACAAAACACTCAAAGATAAAGGGGAAAAAAGGCTCGGCGGCATATGATAGGGGAGTTCCTTATGCTTTTTCTTTCTTTTGTGCCTTTTTTCCTTTTCTGTTTTTACGGGCGAAGCGGCAACGGGTCATCTAGTTCTCATAACATTTGGAACAGCGACATGGGGACTACGAGTTGAGGACTACTTGGGGATCTGATTTCATCTTCCTTCTGAAGATGTACTTGACATTGTGAGATCGATATCTGAGATATTGTGAGACTTGGCATTCGTGACATTTCGGATTTTCGTCACTTCTGACATTTCAAGATACTATCTTTGGAAACATTGAGTTGACAGCATCTCCCCTCTCCTCCTCCTTTCGTCTCTCCCCTCTCTCCCTTCGTCCGTGAATGATCTCAGTGCCTGGCCTTTCGTCTGTGTCTGAGGCCAGGGCCTTCACACCCTGATGAATGTTTGAGAGTGTTCGATTGCAGTCCGAGTCAGGTCCGAGTCAGTCCAAGGTATCTCATGTCTTCTGCTTGCATTTGTATTAACTCTGTATTATCTGGTCAGTTCTGGGAATCTGCGCCATACTTATGACTGTGTTTCACGAGTATGCAACTCTCTCTCTCTCTCTCTCTCTCTGTGTGTGTGTGTGTGTGTGTGTGTGTGTGTGTGTGTGTGTGTGTGTGGTTGAATATGAATGGCTGTTGGCGATGCAAACATACCATGACGATTGGTTAGCACTTTGGTGCCATGTAGAACGAGGCGGCCAAATATGATACGTTTTTACTGCTGTATCCTGCGGTTCGTGGGTGTTTCGGGGGGTATGGGGGTATTTGGGGTGGGTATGGGGTTGTTCATGGGGTTATTACGGGTTCTGGACCCAAAAAAAAAAAAACAATTTTATTATTATTATTTTTTTTTTTTTGCGGGGTGGCGACGACCCCCGGCCAGTAGTGCCGACCAGCCCACCGGTCGTCGGGTCGGCAGCCGACCAGTCAAGGGTCACCGACGGTCGGGGTGTGCAACACTGAGTTTCGGTGAAAATTTCGCCGACAATGACACCACCTATTAACCATATGTGCTCAATATTTTAAAAAATTAAAAACATCATTTCAACCCCGAAATAAATCGCGGGGGCAATTCGATGCATTTTCCAATTTTGCCAGTCCGCCAGTTCCCCCACTGTGCTACAGGTAGCCCTGATGGACATGTGCTACCGGGCCCCACTAATTTAGGACGGCGGGGGAAGTGGTGGTTTAACAACAACACTTTCTCATTTTGTGGGCTGCTTTTTGAAATGCTCTACAGAGTCTGGTTCTCAACTTCTCACAACCGAAGATTTATGATTATATTTTGTCAACTGTTCGTATTTTGTTTGTTTCATCAATATGTTCTTAAGTACCAGTCTTCATGATCTTCTTAATAGAATCAAAACGTATTTCAGTAAAAACCTGTATCAAAAATCGTCGTTCTTTTCTCTTTTTCTCAGTTTTTAACTCCTCCAGCTTCCACTCAGAAAGGTCTGAAACAGTTGGAGGTTGAGGTGAGCATTGGGATCTGGCACTTCTTACAGATTTGGCAAAGGTATGGTGGACTTCACTCGCATAACAGCAACAGCCGACCCAGAGGGTTCATTCTTCCCTGCCTTGCCTGGGACATTAGATGCTTTGTCTTTCTTGGCTTTCTTGTTGGGCGGCAGCTTCGCCGAATCCACGCTTGCCTTCTTCTGACTCTGGCGTGAAGCATTAGTTGTTAGGTACAAAAAAAGCAGCAACAGAACACAAGAACAAAAAGACATCAGAACACAGAAGAAGAGAAAACAGGAGAACACAGCACTGTGACAGCAGGAGAACAGTGATAATCCCGAGCACGATACAAAAAAAGCAACTGAAGGCATAATAGGACAAAGTTTCACAACAGTCCCTTTAAAATAAGGAAGCAACCATCCAGTCAACACTGCCCACATGAGAGACAGAGACACACACACAGACAGAGTGCATGTGTGCTCGTGAGAGAGAGAGAGAGAGAGAGAGAGAGAGAGAGAGAGAGAGAGAGAGAGAGAGAGAGAGAGAGAGAGAGAGAGAGAGAGAGAGAGAGAGNAGAGAGAGAGAGAGAGAGAGAGAGAGAGAGAGAGAGAGAGAGAGAGAGAGAGAGAGAGAGAGAGAGAGAGAGAGAGAGAGAGAGAGAGATGGCAGCATAATTGAGGGAGGTAAAAACTACAAGTTCCCATTAAACAAAAACTGTCATGGCATGCAGAGAAGATTAGTGTGGTCCCTGTGCAAAAAAGATAAAAAGGGGGGTGTGCGGGGACTTGAGCCCTCAGCAGTGCTGGAAAAGGCCTTGCCCACCCTAAGTGAAGGCGGGCCTGCCAATATGTGCCAAGGCCTGGGTACAGGCCAGTGTGATCACACTAAAGGGCTGTTGGAATCTATATGCGGGCCTGAATCTGCACAGTAGCCCTTCTCGGGATCACTCCACATCTCGGATGAGGCCCCGTACAGACATGTGCCCGCCCTAAGTGAAGGCGGGCGAGAATATTTACGAGAGTCCTATTTTTGTCAATTCTGGATGTCGGATATCAGACAGTTGCAGCACACCAGTTGGTTACAGAGTAACGTGAGCCTTTTCCTTGGCTCATTCAGGAAGCAGAAGCTCGAGAGGCAGTTGAGCGCAGGGCACGTACAGTTGAGGCGCTGGGCGTGAGCCACCAGAGGCCGACACATCACAGATCGGCCGCGGGCCAATGAGAATGCAGCATCTTCGTCACACACTAGCCAGCAGCCAATGAGATCGCGACGAAAACTTGTAGCCTCGTGGGCTACCTGGGCGTGCCCAACTGTAAAGGGCCCAGGCCCATAACAGCAACTGGGGGGCTGGGCGCAGACACTGGGGCCCGACTGGAAGCTACTGGAAACTCGTCCAGCCAGGCCCAGAGTTCGACAAAGCGGAGCTCACTTTCCATAAAGGAAAGTGAGCACGGCAGCCAGAGGGGACTCTGGCCGTGTGCTTGCTGGCGGTAGCGCTGCTGGTTTGAGCGCTGGAGGCCGCTTGTAGCCCAAGGGCTGGAAGAGGCGCACACGGGCGCATTGTGGTGTTGGGCACTGCTGGTGCAGCGGGTGCTGAGCAGCCATAGCCGGGCTTGTTCAGCGGAGGCTGTTGATGGTGATGGTGATGGTGGTCTTTGGGTGTCGGGTAGGCACACTGTAGGAAGTCAAGGGGTGATGTGAGAGGAAAGAGGCACGTACCTTGCATGAACGTAGTGTAGGCTAGCATAGGTGCTGAGTAGATAGGCTGGGAGCTGAGCGCCAATAGAGAAGAGTGACATTGGATACTGTGTTGGTGTGGACAGAGAGAGTCGACATTAACGTTTGAGTTCATCGTTGTGTTCTTATTTGGCTGATAACTCGGTGCATTGTGCTTTCTGCCTGGTACACGACTATCTGGGCTACAGCATGATTTTGCGATTTGGAATTCTGTCTATCGCTCTTGCTCATGTTCCCTGCAATTTGGTATCAGAGCTGGTTCGAATATCACCGATCATTGGGCGCTGGCGTCTTGGTTACTTGGTGCGCTGACGAAGCTTTTACACACTGAGGATACTTTGACGCTGGCTGTATTGGTCCATCCCGGGTAGAGGGAGTGGGACTGGAAGGCTGTGCCGACAACATTGTTTGCTGTGGCAACAGCGGATGTATATGGAATGATGAGAGCATGCTGACATGACATTTTGGCTGAGTCCGTTATGTCGTGTGTGGTACCAAGGCTATAACCGGTCATCAAAATGCATGTGTTCCCATACCTTATCTTCCCATCGTAATCTCTTCTTACCATGAGGAAGAGACTTCGGCTTGAGAGTCTTCTGCTCGCTGAGGAGTCGTGAGCGCTCTACCTTGAGAGTCGACATTCTTCCTGGTGGTGCAACTGGCGGGAGAGGGCGGTACCTCTGAAGGGCCCTGGTCGAAGCACCATGTCGAAACCTTTGGTTCCCGAATCAAGTCCCGCCCTTAAGACGTGATATATGGATAAGATGTGCACACCAGATGAATCCGGAATGAGGAGGCAAGAGAGAAAGAAAAGATGAGGGACTAAGGCGGGATGGTCGGCGCCAAGGACCCAAGAGGGGGCCCGAGACCGCCAGAGCTTTAGAACCGGAAAGGGACTGCAGAATGGCGGCTAGCAAAAGTGCGGCAAGGAAATAGTAAAAGCGGCCCTCCTTCGTGAAGGAGGAGGACCGCCAGGAAAAATATACCCAGATGCTAAGTACCACAGGAAGGACGGGGCCGACGACACCAACGAACATAGAGCCTTGGTGTTGGCACATCAGGTCCTCGCATGTGGCCTAGGAAGTGAGCTGAATACGGCATGAGAAAGGAGGAAGCAGGACTAATAGGTGCCACCTAAACAAGTGCCCAAGCACGGGCAATCTGAAAAGATAAAGTGGCCCTTGGGAGCCAGAATGGAAAGGGCTAGAAAAAGAGAGGAATACCTCAATTTCGAGGCTAAATGGAGAAGGAACTCAAAAGAGGTACAACGGATCACAAGGGCCTTACTTGGGGAATGCCCAGGTACACTGAAGCTGAAAAATGAGGTTCAAATGTGGTCCGAAATAAAACGGTCAGTAAGGATGAGGAGAAAAGGGCCTAGAGGGAGAATGGGAGAGGTAGGAGAGTGTGGGAGTGGAAAAAGGGCAAGCCACCACATCATGGTCAGCTGAAACGGTTTTCACCTTTTAGCAGTAGCGGATGCAGTACCCAGGGTTCGATCCCTAGACCTCACCCTACCCATGTACAGTATCTGTGTAGACCCCGAGAATTGAACCTGTGACCTGTGTATTCGTAGGCAGTTGGTAGACCTGTCGTAGGTCCATAGACAGCAGGGGTTCGATCTGTAGGTCTATAGCGTAGGAGTCTTAGTGAGTTCTGGAAGCTTAGCTGTAGACCTTCTAGAAGATAGGCAAGTGGGCAAGTGGTCAAGTGGCGAGGCAAGTGGTGGACTAAACCGCAGTGCAACAGCAGTACAACGTCGGTAGGATGGCGGTGAGTCCACAGTCAGTCAGCGGAAGGTCCAGTCAGTCCCAGACCGGTCCAGCAAGTACCACAGGGGGACTGTGAGCACCAAGGGCCGATGGCAAAGGGCAGACCAACGAGTTTCTGAAGTATAAATCAAGAGGCAGCTCCCAGCCATTCATTCATTCCTGCGTGAGCCATGCGGAAGCGCTGCCACAGCGAC